ACTTGTCACACAATTTCTGAAAGCTGACACTCAAACACCAGAAGCACACACCAAATCTGCAAAACCATACACTAATTCTCAGCCTTTGACTCAGTTTTCAATTTCATAAAACCATTTTTGCAAAACACAACACACAGTTCTCTATGTAACACACAAAAATCTAACAGGGATTAATATTATGGCAAAGGTGTTTGCAAATGTTTGCTTTTGAGATGTGTTTGTGATATTTTGAATGCAGTGCTTCATTTTACAAGATATGTGAGGCATTTTGCATTTTGTGCGTGCAATTCTTGGATTTGTGTGTAAAGTTGTGAAAAAAAGAGGCAAAGTTTTGAAAATGTAAGCAGTTTAAAAAACTGTAAATGTAATTAAATTATACATTTAAATGGTAACTCTGAAATACGGTCTCATTTGTTAACATTAGTTCATACATTAACAGCATACAATGAGCAATATATTTTTATAACAATTATCAATTGTTATAAAACAATAATACATGTTAATTAATAAAAACACAGTTTTCAAGTTAGTTCAAAGTGAATCAACTAATGTTAACAGATACAACTTTTGATTTTAAAAATGCATTAGTAAATGCTGAAATACATATTCTGAAATTTATAAATTTATAAGTTTGTTAATGCAATCAACTAATGTTCTATTAACTACTAACTAACGTAATCAACGTTACCAAAAGTATTATCAAGTAAATACTTGAAATTAACTTCAAAAACATCTCAAAAATAATTAAATTGACAAATTTTGACAACAAAACAATCTTAAAATTCTATGTTAAGTGTAGTTAAATTTAAAGAAAATATTGACACATTAAGACATCAGATGTTATAAATTAAAGACAAATAAATTCATTTCAAGGCATTTCTTACCCCCGTATTTGGAATTATACACTTTTTTTTGTGGCATCTTAATGTCTTAACACAATGAATTATTAGAATCTATTGTTAGATTTGTTTTCTGACTAAGCATTGAAGAGAAATCTGCAGCTGAAGCTTCAGTCCTCGTACAGCGTTTGCTCTCACGTCTGTGTTTAGTGGAGGTCAGACTCTTTAAATGTTAATCGGCCCATTAGATCGTAGAGGCTCTTGTGTTACGAGCTCTTGACTGACAAAAGCCTCTCTGTGTGAGTGTGTGTGTGTGTTACCTGTGAGCCGAGGCTTTTATCAGTATTGTGAACTGCAGCAGGCTTTAGTCACCGACACACAGATCCTCTTACACATGATAAGAGCCTGCGCGCGCGTGTGTGTGTGTGTGTGTGTGTGTAACAGAGAGGTGTGTGTGTGTGAGACACAGAGGTGTGTGAGTGTGTGTGTAACAGAGAGGTGTGTGTGTGTGTGTGTGTTTAACAGAGGTGTGTGTGTGTAACAGAGAGGTGCGTGTCTGTAACAAAGAGGTGTGTGTGTGTGTGTGTGAGACGCAGAACTGTGTGTGTGTGTGTGTGTAACAGAGAGTTGTGTGTGTGTGTGTGTGTGTGTAACAGAGAGGTGTGTGAGACGCAGAGCTGTGTGTGTGTGTAACAGAGAGGTGTGAGACGCAGAGCTGTGTGTGTGTGTAACAGAGAGGTGTGAGACGCAGAGCTGTGTGTGTGTGTAACAGAGAGGTGTGAGACGCAGAGCTGTGTGTGTGTGTAACAGAGAGGTGTGAGACGCAGAGCTGTGTGTGTGTGTAACAGAGAGGTGTGAGACGCAGAGCTGTGTGTGTGTGTAACAGAGAGGTGTGAGACGCAGAGCTGTGTGTGTGTGTAACAGAGAGGTGTGAGACGCAGAGCTGTGTGTGTGTGTAACAGAGAGGTGTGAGACGCAGAGCTGTGTGTGTGTGTAACAGAGAGGTGTGAGACGCAGAGCTGTGTGTGTGTGTAACAGAGAGGTGTGAGACGCAGAGCTGTGTGTGTGTGTAACAGAGAGGTGTGAGACGCAGAGCTGTGTGTGTGTGTAACAGAGAGGTGTGAGACGCAGAGCTGTGTGTGTGTGTAACAGAGAGGTGTGAGACGCAGAGCTGTGTGTGTGTGTAACAGAGAGGTGTGAGACGCAGAGCTGTGTGTGTGTGTAACAGAGAGGTGTGAGACGCAGAGCTGTGTGTGTGTGTAACAGAGAGGTGTGAGACGCAGAGCTGTGTGTGTGTGTAACAGAGAGGTGTGAGACGCAGAGCTGTGTGTGTGTGTAACAGAGAGGTGTGAGACGCAGAGCTGTGTGTGTGTGTAACAGAGAGGTGTGAGACGCAGAGCTGTGTGTGTGTGTAACAGAGAGGTGTGAGACGCAGAGCTGTGTGTGTGTGTAACAGAGAGGTGTGAGACGCAGAGCTGTGTGTGTGTGTAACAGAGAGGTGTGAGACGCAGAGCTGTGTGTGTGTGTAACAGAGAGGTGTGAGACGCAGAGCTGTGTGTGTGTGTAACAGAGAGGTGTGAGACGCAGAGCTGTGTGTGTGTGTAACAGAGAGGTGTGAGACGCAGAGCTGTGTGTGTGTGTAACAGAGAGGTGTGAGACGCAGAGCTGTGTGTGTGTGTAACAGAGAGGTGTGAGACGCAGAGCTGTGTGTGTGTGTAACAGAGAGGTGTGAGACGCAGAGCTGTGTGTGTGTGTAACAGAGAGGTGTGAGACGCAGAGCTGTGTGTGTGTGTAACAGAGAGGTGTGAGACGCAGAGCTGTGTGTGTGTGTAACAGAGAGGTGTGAGACGCAGAGCTGTGTGTGTGTGTAACAGAGAGGTGTGAGACGCAGAGCTGTGTGTGTGTGTAACAGAGAGGTGTGAGACGCAGAGCTGTGTGTGTGTGTAACAGAGAGGTGTGAGACGCAGAGCTGTGTGTGTGTGTAACAGAGAGGTGTGAGACGCAGAGCTGTGTGTGTGTGTAACAGAGAGGTGTGAGACGCAGAGCTGTGTGTGTGTGTAACAGAGAGGTGTGAGACGCAGAGCTGTGTGTGTGTGTAACAGAGAGGTGTGAGACGCAGAGCTGTGTGTGTGTGTAACAGAGAGGTGTGAGACGCAGAGCTGTGTGTGTGTGTAACAGAGAGGTGTGAGACGCAGAGCTGTGTGTGTGTGTAACAGAGAGGTGTGAGACGCAGAGCTGTGTGTGTGTGTAACAGAGAGGTGTGAGACGCAGAGCTGTGTGTGTGTGTAACAGAGAGGTGTGAGACGCAGAGCTGTGTGTGTGTGTAACAGAGAGGTGTGAGACGCAGAGCTGTGTGTGTGTGTAACAGAGAGGTGTGAGACGCAGAGCTGTGTGTGTGTGTAACAGAGAGGTGTGAGACGCAGAGCTGTGTGTGTGTGTAACAGAGAGGTGTGAGACGCAGAGCTGTGTGTGTGTGTAACAGAGAGGTGTGAGACGCAGAGCTGTGTGTGTGTGTAACAGAGAGGTGTGAGACGCAGAGCTGTGTGTGTGTGTAACAGAGAGGTGTGAGACGCAGAGCTGTGTGTGTGTGTAACAGAGAGGTGTGAGACGCAGAGCTGTGTGTGTGTGTAACAGAGAGGTGTGAGACGCAGAGCTGTGTGTGTGTGTAACAGAGAGGTGTGAGACGCAGAGCTGTGTGTGTGTGTAACAGAGAGGTGTGAGACGCAGAGCTGTGTGTGTGTGTAACAGAGAGGTGTGAGACGCAGAGCTGTGTGTGTGTGTAACAGAGAGGTGTGAGACGCAGAGCTGTGTGTGTGTGTAACAGAGAGGTGTGAGACGCAGAGCTGTGTGTGTGTGTAACAGAGAGGTGTGAGACGCAGAGCTGTGTGTGTGTGTAACAGAGAGGTGTGAGACGCAGAGCTGTGTGTGTGTGTAACAGAGAGGTGTGAGACGCAGAGCTGTGTGTGTGTGTAACAGAGAGGTGTGAGACGCAGAGCTGTGTGTGTGTGTAACAGAGAGGTGTGAGACGCAGAGCTGTGTGTGTGTGTAACAGAGAGGTGTGAGACGCAGAGCTGTGTGTGTGTGTAACAGAGAGGTGTGAGACGCAGAGCTGTGTGTGTGTGTAACAGAGAGGTGTGAGACGCAGAGCTGTGTGTGTGTGTAACAGAGAGGTGTGAGACGCAGAGCTGTGTGTGTGTGTAACAGAGAGGTGTGAGACGCAGAGCTGTGTGTGTGTGTAACAGAGAGGTGTGAGACGCAGAGCTGTGTGTGTGTGTAACAGAGAGGTGTGAGACGCAGAGCTGTGTGTGTGTGTAACAGAGAGGTGTGAGACGCAGAGCTGTGTGTGTGTGTAACAGAGAGGTGTGAGACGCAGAGCTGTGTGTGTGTGTAACAGAGAGGTGTGAGACGCAGAGCTGTGTGTGTGTGTAACAGAGAGGTGTGAGACGCAGAGCTGTGTGTGTGTGTAACAGAGAGGTGTGAGACGCAGAGCTGTGTGTGTGTGTAACAGAGAGGTGTGAGACGCAGAGCTGTGTGTGTGTGTAACAGAGAGGTGTGAGACGCAGAGCTGTGTGTGTGTGTAACAGAGAGGTGTGAGACGCAGAGCTGTGTGTGTGTGTAACAGAGAGGTGTGAGACGCAGAGCTGTGTGTGTGTGTAACAGAGAGGTGTGAGACGCAGAGCTGTGTGTGTGTGTAACAGAGAGGTGTGAGACGCAGAGCTGTGTGTGTGTGTAACAGAGAGGTGTGAGACGCAGAGCTGTGTGTGTGTGTAACAGAGAGGTGTGAGACGCAGAGCTGTGTGTGTGTGTAACAGAGAGGTGTGAGACGCAGAGCTGTGTGTGTGTGTAACAGAGAGGTGTGAGACGCAGAGCTGTGTGTGTGTGTAACAGAGAGGTGTGAGACGCAGAGCTGTGTGTGTGTGTAACAGAGAGGTGTGAGACGCAGAGCTGTGTGTGTGTGTAACAGAGAGGTGTGAGACGCAGAGCTGTGTGTGTGTGTAACAGAGAGGTGTGAGACGCAGAGCTGTGTGTGTGTGTAACAGAGAGGTGTGAGACGCAGAGCTGTGTGTGTGTGTAACAGAGAGGTGTGAGACGCAGAGCTGTGTGTGTGTGTAACAGAGAGGTGTGAGACGCAGAGCTGTGTGTGTGTGTAACAGAGAGGTGTGAGACGCAGAGCTGTGTGTGTGTGTAACAGAGAGGTGTGAGACGCAGAGCTGTGTGTGTGTGTAACAGAGAGGTGTGAGACGCAGAGCTGTGTGTGTGTGTAACAGAGAGGTGTGAGACGCAGAGCTGTGTGTGTGTGTAACAGAGAGGTGTGAGACGCAGAGCTGTGTGTGTGTGTAACAGAGAGGTGTGAGACGCAGAGCTGTGTGTGTGTGTAACAGAGAGGTGTGAGACGCAGAGCTGTGTGTGTGTGTAACAGAGAGGTGTGAGACGCAGAGCTGTGTGTGTGTGTAACAGAGAGGTGTGAGACGCAGAGCTGTGTGTGTGTGTAACAGAGAGGTGTGAGACGCAGAGCTGTGTGTGTGTGTAACAGAGAGGTGTGAGACGCAGAGCTGTGTGTGTGTGTAACAGAGAGGTGTGAGACGCAGAGCTGTGTGTGTGTGTAACAGAGAGGTGTGAGACGCAGAGCTGTGTGTGTGTGTAACAGAGAGGTGTGAGACGCAGAGCTGTGTGTGTGTGTAACAGAGAGGTGTGAGACGCAGAGCTGTGTGTGTGTGTAACAGAGAGGTGTGAGACGCAGAGCTGTGTGTGTGTGTAACAGAGAGGTGTGAGACGCAGAGCTGTGTGTGTGTGTAACAGAGAGGTGTGAGACGCAGAGCTGTGTGTGTGTGTAACAGAGAGGTGTGAGACGCAGAGCTGTGTGTGTGTGTAACAGAGAGGTGTGAGACGCAGAGCTGTGTGTGTGTGTAACAGAGAGGTGTGAGACGCAGAGCTGTGTGTGTGTGCGTAACAGAGAGGTGTGTGTGTGTGTGTGTAACAGAGAGGAGTGTGTGTGTAATAGAGAGGTGTGTGTGTGTGTGTGTGTGTAACAGAGCGGTGTGTGTGTGTAACAGAGAGGTGTGTGTGTGTGTGTAACAGAGAGGTGTGTGTGTGTGTGTGTGGTTACCGTTGCTGCTGCTGTAGGTGACGTTGTGTGCGCTGTGTGATGTGATAATCACCGGCAGCATCACAAACACAAACATCAGCAGAAACATGATGAAATTCAGAAGCACCAGGAAGCGCAGGAATGAAAAATACGACAGGATTCCCGTCCCAAACATGCCTGAGAGAAACAAACACACACAGAAACACATTAGCGCGTGTCGCTCTCAGAGTTTCAAGTTCACCTGCTTTAATGTGGGTCTCCATCACTGGACTGCAAGCCAGACACAAACCCCTCAACATCTTGATCCAAACCCTGGCCTCCCAGCAATCACATATACAGCAGAAAGACAGTAACGGCACAGAGAGAGACGCTGACCCTCGATGAGATGAATCTCTGCCCTCCAGAGCTGCAGAGACGAGAGCACATCCATCCCGTCCTCCTTGAGACGCTTCAGAGAGCGATGGACATTGAGCCTCCACAAACCCCAGCCGGTGAGAGTGCCGCCCTGCTGGAGACGCTGCTGCCTGCACACACACACACACACACACACGTATTCCAATACGAATGATAGCAAATCACATACTGTCAGATGGGAGAGATGTCAGCCAGCAGAGATCTGCTGAACGATCTTACAGAGGTAAATGAGTCAATATATAAATAAATAACTATATAGTACAGCTCTATACGCCACAATGGTGATATAATACTCCAGTTCCAGCATCCACACACACTCACTTCTCCCAGCGTTTCTCCTGCATGCTCTTGGGAAGCTCCCTCACGGGTTTGAGTTCCTCCCCGCCGTGGACAGGTTTCTGCTCCGCCCATTTCCCGCTGTTGATTGACGGCTGCCTGCCCCGCCCACTGCCCCGCCTCCTGGCACTGCCGCTGGAGCTGGACTTCCTCCGGTACAGCAGAGACTGATAGCTGGGCAGCTGCTCCAGCAGGAGGTGACTGGCAGGAGCCCGCCGGTCCGGGAAGAACACTGACGCACAGAAGTGTGTGAGGTTATTATTGCCATCTGACCTCAATAATGCCTCATATTTTAAAACATGTGTATTTGTGTCAAGCTCAATATCGCACGCAGCTCAGGATGGTCTTTAGGGCACAATTCACAGTGCATGGACTTTCAGAAATGTGCACATTCTTGCTCCTTAGACTCAAAACTAAAGTCCTAATGTATTTATCAAGATCAATATCCCACTTTTAGGGTGAGTTTATAACTAAGTCCCTTTGAGACAAGTCATGTCACTCGGCACAAGTGCAGCTCCTGTCTCTCTGAATGGGGAAAATAGGAGTGCAACATCTTTGAATATCTAAAGTCTTTGGTTTTTAATGGGACGGATTGTTTAAGGGGGAACCTACTGAGTGTAGTATGCGTGAGAAAGTGTAGTTTTTTTAAAACACTCCTACATTTTAGGGTGATTATTATTATCTCTATAATTTCCCCTTATATCAGTTCTCTATGGCAGAGTTCTGCTGTAGACATGACGAGACTGAGATTCTGGTTACAGTAGAAATCTGGGAAAAGCCTGCTATATTCATGTGTTTGGGGAAACAAACAGATCTAACATAAGCATGAGAACTGAAATAATTAACAGTCTTTTACAGTAATTATATTCATGATTGACAAATAATAGCTTATAGTCTAAAACACAAGTTTTCTTGGTCGCACATTAGCTTGGGGACCAATTCTCACTAATATGTGCTTTATAAGTACTAATAAACAGCCAATATGCTAGTGATATGCAAGCTAATTAGCAACTAGTTAATACTGAGAACTGGTCCCTAAACTAAAGTGTTTGCACACAATTTCTGACATAATATTTCACTTATTACTTATTTATACAAGTAAATGAAGTTAAATATGCCTGTTTGAATTGAGAATATAAAGAATGATCGCATATAAAGAACTATTTGTGTGCATGTGTGAGTATAAACAAAAGCCTGAAACACAATCCTGTTAGGATCCATTTGAGCTGTAAATGTAACACGAGCTGCTGAGGATCTGAGGCACCGCAGTGACGCACACAGATGTTGTAACACTGTAACAGCAGAGATCAGACGCTTCAGTGTGACTCTGCGCTGCATCAAACGCGTCGAGACTCGCAGCGCCGCATACTTTCGGTTCGCGACTCACGACAACAGCTAGACTTCACAGTCGAACATCACGATAAACTCCCCACACAAATAAAACACGCAGGCATTCCTCGGTGTGGCGGGTTTCATATTTCACCATCTCAGCCACCGAGCGGAAAATACACTCGGATCTTCCTCGTTTCGTCTAATTAACCATGTTAAAACTCATGTGTGTGATTACTGACACGCAAACACCACATAGTAAGTCACGCGCAACACATATTATGATAATCATAAACTTCTGCCGAAACTCACCCGCATCGGGCGCGTCCATGATCCGCTGGTCCAGATCAAACTCTCCCGTGACGCCTGCCGAGCGCTCGTGTGCTAACACGGAGTCAGCCGCGTTACTGAAGGCTAGCAGTGTTTCGTGTGTGTGTTGATGTTTAGGTGTGTTGGGCTGCGCAGTAGTGTTGGGTCGTTCTTGAACGAATCTTTAATGTGACTCGGGAAGAACGAGTCGTCTCGTGGAGTGATTCGTTCAGTCGCGCATGCGCAACATCCTATATGTCAGGTTTCCTCAATTAGTTTTCACCGAGGGCCGAATTCTGACAACAATACCAAGCCAAGGGCCACTGACCTATATATATATATATATATATATAAATAA